AGAAAATAGTAAACAGTGATAATAATAATATATAGATAAAATAGTATTATTATTTTTACTGTCTAACACTCTTAATTTTTTATCAGTTATCTTGTCTTTGCTTGGCCCTGATGAAGACCTGAAACTAAGGCCTAAATGTTGGCACAAAGGAAATAAAAATTAATACAGTTTATTCATTTTAAATTCGTCTGTCTTCCAGTGACTGAAAACGACAAAAAAACTGCTTATTTTATGACCATTAGATTTTCACAGAGTGTATAAGAAATATTTTTAGTTACTGTTTTGGTTTGTACATGCAAGGCCAAGGTTGATAAGAAAATCTCACAACCTAATGATTTAACAAATATTTTTTAGTGTTTACACATATTTAAGTAACCAGACACATATCCACATCTTAAGGAATCATAAATGAACTGCAAAGTAACATTAACAAAACTCAAAAAAAATTGGTATATTTCTATGTATGGTGTTTGATTTTTTTTTCTTCAAATATACATAATAATATGTTTGGTGCAATTTCTTTTTTGAATGATTGGGTAAATTTTTAAAAAACTCCGTAAATAGTGTTTTAAAATCATATAGCAAGTAATGTTTCAATTGATTTATTGATTTTATATTTTGAATGAAATTCATATGAACTAAAAGTGTACTTTTGAATTAACTTTAATGTAAATAAAAAGTAACATTTTAATTCACTGTTTGTCTTTATGATATTTCAAACCTAATAAAAGCAAATTACAATAAAGAAAAATTCTAAGTATTCAACTTAACATAAATACAAGTAACCTAGTAAAAAGTCTATCATTATTTATGCAATAGTTATTAGTTCAAGTTTCTGGCATGTAAGTTATGACTAAAATTAATAAAAGTTATTAGCAAAGATGTTCTTTGCTGACATCAGCTATAATCATTGCCTACCCATCTCTCTCCAACACCAGCCAAAACCCAAGAAAAAAAAATCAGACCTAATATAATCCTCTCATGTATATCTTGGTCGGGTTGACCTCTTTGATATTAGCAAAAGTAATTGGAGTTTAAAATGGGAAATAATTCTCAGTGAACAGAACCCGTAATTAATTAACTAACTTTAAAAAAACACTTACAAGAACATAATATTCCTACTTTTTTTTTCTACGGGAGTTCTGTCTTTAAGCTGCTCTCAAGGGACCAAACATTTAACAAAAAAAAAAACAATCATTACATCCTAATTAAATTTATTCATTAACCATTTTAATTTTCTATTTTATTTTAACATACCTATTTCAAAATAAAATTAAACTCATAGGAGCTGAATTGCCTTAGTTACTTAATAATTAAATATTAAAACCTCCACTCATAAGGTTGTGCTTATTTAAACCCAAAAATTTATACCTTAAAATTCATTTTAATAATGAGCTTTATGACAAAGGAAATAAGCATAACCTTATGAGTGGAAATTTTAGTATTAGACTATTAATTTATTGTGACAAGGGCAATTCAGCCCATATGAATTTAATTTTATTTTGAAATAGTACTGTAAAGATAAAATAGAAAATGAAAAATGAGCAAATGTAATTAGACTGTGATGATTTTTTTTTTGTTAAAGATTTTATTTCTTGAAAATGGCCTTAAGGCTGAAACTTTGGTCTAGAGAAATAAAATAAAATAGGACTTTTGTGATCTAATCAGTGTTGCTATTATTACTAATAAAGTGAAGTCCTAACCAACAAGATTGAAATATATATATTAACTAAATTCTTTTTTATTTAATAAAATAAGATTTTAAAAAATCTTATTTGAACTTCAGTGGATAAATTGCATTCCATTCTCAGCGACAAAATAACAGAAAATTCATGCAATTGATCTAAAAGAAGATTAAGGCACTTTTAAAGACCTATTGAGAGGTCTTAAAAAATAGAATGATTCAAACTTTTAATAAATTATAACTCCTCATGGGTTGAAGCTTGATGTGTAGGCGATGATGAAGGCAAGTCTACAATACGGGATGCAAAGAGCACCGTATCAGTAGAAGCATGAATAATAAGAAAAGCAAATGGATGATTGCAAAGTACTGTCGGCCGTTCTTCAATAATCGCTCTCCTCATCCTCATTAAACCAGCTGCAACATCATCATTCTCTCAGACCCAAGGTTTTTGTAAATGATTTCCCATATCAAATATATAGGCAATATAACATGCTAGGAAGACATTCAGCAACTATATACAATATATTCATCTAGGAAGTAAGTCTGAACTAAATGGTCTTTAATCAAGAGTAAGTATAATATTCTAACTAAGAAACAATTTTTCCAAGCCATAATGATGAAACTAAATAATAACTTGAACTTAAAGAAAAAAAAAATAATAACATGATTACTTCTATTCATGCAATGAAAAAATATAATATGACTTTTCAGTCATTATATAATATAATACAGAAACATTAAAACAACCTATTTCAATCTAAACATTGAATATTTAAAAATACACAACTCTATAATTCAATTAATCTAATAAATAATGAAAACTTATTCATCCACGGCTGTGAATTAATACTAGGGTCATTAATTTATTTATGATCATTTGATGTCCCGGTATTTATGTCTGATGTATTTAAATCTGTTTTGCACATGTTTTTCAGATTAAAAAGATATGATATTAATTCTTTTCAGGGGAATGTAATTGTAACATTATAATAAAATCTTAATAATAAATCTATCTAAACCAAAAAAAGAAATATCTTAATGTAAATGAAATAAAAAAAGTAAAGAATATTACTGTCCGAATGTGAGAATGCAAAGCATATTAAGTGAAAAAAATGTGTTCCATGTGTCCTGAGTAACTGTTAATTTAGTATGACTGGAAAAATCTTAAAAACTTGTGATACCAGTTATCAGTCTATGTGTAATCTTGAGGCATAAAAGAGCTAGCTGGAGGCAATACAAAACATGCTATGTTACAAAAATTATGCATAACGAATGTTATCATTATTATACTTAAGATTGTTCAATTAACATTATGGATGATAACTGCAACATGAGTAGATTTGAGATATTTATTTGAGAATAAGGTTTCATATTTGCCCAACAATAACTATGCCACCAAGCAAACAGAGAGAAAATTTTATTTTCTAAATATAGGAATTTTTTAAATGATAATCTGATTTTATTTACAGGTTTCATCAAAATATATTAAACTCCTCATAATAATAAAATGAAACATTTACAATAGAAAACATACAGAGATAATAACAGTACCTGTATAAAACAATTAAACTGCTTGTCTTTTGTAACTTTACTACATTGTCCTACAACACTGTTGTAGCCAGAATGTTATCAGTTAATGACAAGTGATTGATAGAAATTATTAATAATTATTATTTACTACTGAAGTGAAGAGATGGACAATAATTTTTTTAAGATTGTTTTATTATGATCTCATTCGGTATAAAAGAACAAATATATAATAATAAAATGAAACATTTACAATATAAAATATAAAGAAATAACAGCAATATCTGTAAATGAAAATCAAATTGCACATCTTTTCAAAGCAGTAGTGAATAGTAATTATCAATTATTATATTAATGACATTTCATTATTCGATACACACTTCTTCAGTTACAACAGTGTTGTACCAGAGTGTAGCAAACATCTACTCACTCACTCTCACTCTCACTCACTCTCACTCTCTCTCTCTCTCTCTCTCTCTCTCTCTCTCTCTCTATATATATATATATATATATATTATATATATATATATATATATATATATATATATATATATATATATATATATATAGAGAGAGAGAGAGAGAGAGAGAGAGAGAGAGAGAGAGAGAGAGTGAGAGAGAGAGAGAGAGAGAGAGAGAGAATTGTGAAAAGAAAGTAAATGAATAAGCAACTTTTGAGTCTTATTCATTACTGAGGGTAAGCAAGTTTTGTATTCATCTTGAAGGTTAAACATAAAAATTTTACACTCAAATTTTACATTTTTGACATTAAGGAATAAAATTGGATGCTGGTCTGTCTGTAGTCAAATCCATGTGATGTGACTACACTCACTTACTACTGTTAATTCAATTTTCAAGAAATTTTCAGATATTATTCGGGTTAGAACTTAGATGATCTCATATCAATGTTAACAAATTCTATCAACTACTTTCACACATGTAATTATATTTCCTTAGACATGTCAAAAATTTCAAAAACGATTATAAGTTTTTAAACTGTATTTTATAGCTAAATCCTTGTGATAGACATAACTACTGTTTTTTTCAATTAGATAAAATTTTCAGAGGTTATAAATGTCAATGTATAGTTAGTCCAAAAGCGATTTTATTAAATTCTGTCATTTTTTCACTGAAGGGTGTATTTTTCCTCTAACAGACTTTTTGAAAAATGGCTTCTGTAGTTTTTTCAAATGTCAATTCAAATGAAAAATCATATACTTTGATATATAAGATATTATGTAACCAATATTAATTAATGGGGAAGGTAAACTGATCCAACTTGGCAGATGTTTTTATAGCCCAAAGTGAACATGAAGTTGTTCCAACAGTTTCGCTAACACCATCCCACATAATATTAATGTGTATATTAAAGCATTGTAAATACTTCTGAAATGTCTATACCTTCTCTATATTATTACCTTATTGTATTATTGCTTTTAAGCCTAGATATGTATTTTAATCAACTCAATTTTCATCATATAAAATTTTAGATAAGTAATGGTCTAATGTATCACTTTGACAGGAAAAAAATATGGCCCGGAAAAGCTACAAAAAAGCCAGATTAAATAATTTTCTAAACAGGTACTTGTAAACTGTGATAATTGAAACAATCATTAAAAATATATTATAATATGTTTACCATGCAAAAACATGATTGATGTGATTAAACAATAATGTAATACCAGAAGAATTAAGATTTAAAAGAAATAACTAAAAACGTTGCAAACAAACAAGCTCTAAAAAGCACCACACCACGCAGTCAGAATGAATCAGAAAACAGAGTACTTACCAGTAGCTGCAGCTGCTTCAGTCCCTTCTTCATTAACCTCAATAAACGCTTTTTGGAGAACTTTGCTGATTTCAAGGGGTTCATCGGTTATTCCTGAGAAGTTGGCATTTCTGAAGGCACTAGGCATTTGCTATAACATGAAAAATCTTGCACGTAACTGATATGAATTATTGCATTAAATTGGAAAACGGATAAGATGACACAATTGGTATCAATAATAAAGAGGTGATGTTTATCATTGAAAGAAAAATTAACTATGAGATAAAATACATGGTCAACTTAAAAAGAAATTAAAAAGATGATGGATATAATAAATTAACTGACACTGGATACAGATAAATATACAACTTAACCAGGAATATTAAAATTAACTTATTTTATTACTAAAATACAGGAAAGAATAAATTTCAAAAATACAATTAATAACATAAGAAAGAAATAGGTAAGATAATTATTAGCTACAAGTGTAGGGGCCCACTGTGACTTAGAACAATCCATTCATTAGCTTTTGCTTTAATTTTTTCTATACCATAAAATATAAAAGCAATTTTGAAACTATATGGCAAGCTACTGTCCCCAAAACTCAACACAGAGTATAATAACGGAAAACACTGTTTTTTTTATATTATAAGGAGAATATGTGATATATTTCGTTAAATGGTTAAGAATACTAAAACTTCTAAATTTCAAGAAGTGTTAAGTATGCTGTAACCTTCTTATTGATCAAAAAACATTTAATTTTGGTCAGAATACCTATTTTACTGGTTGTGTATCTTGAGGAAAGCTGATTAGAGCTTTTTATGAAGTTATTAAATGGCTAAATGTTTGTACAAAATGCTAATACCTAATAAATGATCTACAAAAAAAATAACGTAACATATGACTATGTTGTTCTATAGAATGGTAGCTGAAAATGTATTAAAAAACCATTTCAGCTGTATTGATTACAGCGAGAACAGCCATGAAATAAAACTAAATAAATTAACAGCTAATTAGCTTTATAAAAACTGCTTCTATTTAGCTCAACAAAAAACATCACACAAAAGCTGTTTTTTTTTTTTTTAATCTTATAGGAACTTAAGATTTATAAACAGGAATCTGTAACAAATCAAAAGACAAATCTCATAGGCTGAGTTAAAATTACACCAATTCTGACTTGCTGGCAATGCATAAGCTCCACCTGGCTGCCCAACAAACTTAGCTAAAATGGTTATTTTAATATTTCTTTTTTTTTTTTTGCTAAACCAATAAATTATAAAATCAATACAAAACCGTTTTCTAATCCATTTATGAATGTAAATATACTACTATTACCTTCATTAGCACATCATTGAGGTCCAGTGTTTTCTCAATCTTAAATCTTGGAACCATCACATTTACTGTTTGTTCATAAAGCGAATTAAACTCTTCCTCCAAATTTATATGATTTAATTTACTTTCCATTTCAAATAAACCATCTAGTTTATGTGGTAGCAAAATAAACATGCTAAACTTGTCACCCTAAAATAGGTAATGTTTACAAAGCATTAATTTTAGTGAAACAATTTAATAAGATTTCAATAAATAAAATTGAAGAGAAATTCAAAAGCTTCAGGAAATCACTTCAATTGTTTGTATTAACAGGAAAGCAGATAAAATTGCTAATTTAAAATATCTATGAACTCCGTTCAAATCTAGTTAGCTGAGAAATTTCAGAAAAATAATTAAAAGATATTTTACTAATGTAAGAGAAGATTCTAAGAAATTTCTTTTAAGATATCGGGAGCAGGACTTGTAAAAATATCTTTCTCATAAATTGTGAGTACTGCACGAATTTCATAGTCATATGTTTTTTACTTTAATTTACTTATGGAATGGAATATATAGTAAGGGAAAGTATTGCAGTCATGAAAAATATTTTTGAATCTACTATTAAACAGAAATACATGTTTTGAGGTCACCTGAGTCAAAATAACAAAGTGCTGCAAAATGGTGTGTGTGTTTATGTGTGTGAGTGTGACAGCCTAGCTCAAAAACAAAAAGTCGTACGAAACTTAAATTGCCTATTTAAGGTTTGTATATGATTCCGATGTGACAGCAACTTAAACCGGAGGTGCCACTTTATATCAACGGTGATACACATTTTTACGATTTTCTCGAAAACGGTTCGAACTTACTTTTTATCCAACCTAGAGCCGAATCAAACGAGCTGTTTCTGAAGTATTGGTGTATCTAAAAACATAGGTTCGCATGGAAGTGCTGAATGGAATTTGATAAAATTGATATGGGACCATCTAGGCACCAACCTGCACAATCCCTGAAAATCGGATGAATGGTACTAGGTGATATGCCCGTAACATCGATTGGACTTCAGACAGACAGACACCGAACCAAATTTGACTATTGATTAAACATAAAATGTGAGTGAAAATTTTCGATTCTGAGCAGAAACATTTTTTTAACCTCTTGCACGGATACAATGCTTCCCTACTCTCAGTAGCGAGGAAGAAAAACGATAAAAATTTTATCTCAATAAATTTTAAGTGATTTATTTAGGAATAAAATTTCAATCGGATGAAAAATTAAAGGAATATAAATTTAGTCAAATAAACAATTATGCAAATAAAAACCGAACAATACATTTAGGATTGTCATTATTGTTATATATAAATGTAAATGGTTTACTACAAAACACTCACGAATTCCCGTTTTCATCATCTAAAATTAAATTCTATTATCATGAAAAAAAAAATTTTAAAAACACTAAACAGTCAATAAAGATTAACAATAATACCAATAAATCTGACTTTTGAAATGCAATCAATTGAGTGAGAGGAACTCAACTTTATCCAAACTTATTTCATTGAAATGTCCTTAATTTTTTAAGTATACTAGATTTCTAGATCTTTATGATCTGCCATTTGTATAGTAGTCCTCTTTTTCACACCATTGTATCAAAAGTGTACACACGTAAATAATGTTATTCCTTACCTCATATGGTAGTTCAAGAATCTTAGCTCCAAGGTTTGCACTTTCAATGAATCGAAATTTTCCTTCGCGCATAACCATCATTGGTACATTTACAGTCTGATCAGGAGTAACATAGAATGGCATATCAATTGTGTTTTTCCTATCAAATCTCTTTTTCCAGTCAGCTTTAAAATGTATCGCATTAACCATGACTAATCTAGTTCCCTTAGTTACAGAGCCTGAAAAGAAAACATTTTTTTTTTTTTATGTTAATTTAAATTTAAGTACATTTAAATAAAACTGATTTTATATTCCTAGAAAGATAAAAGTAGTTTTTTTTTTTTTTTTATCACATATCATTTATCTCAAGATTGTTGATGATCAGGATGCAAAATATCCAACATAATTTGACAGAATAAACCAGTTTATAAGTGTATTTTCCACTAACATTTAAAGTTTTAGAGAACAGATTTTAAAAATGCTTTAACCCTTCAAACTTAATCCTCAATTAAAAAAATGTGAGTTAGTTCTTACAGATAATAATTATAGACAACTTAAACTATTAGAAAAGAATATATATTTTTTAAATAATATAATATGGTACTAGTTCACAAGAGTTCCATACGGATTACGTGTGGTTCACAATTACTTCAGTCACATTTGTCCATGAAATGCATAAAACAGACAAATTATTGTAATATTTTGGAGTTCATCGATATAAGTGTCGTAATTATTCGGGGGAGGGGAGGGGAGAGTGAGAGTAGGGGGGATGATTTTTATAAAAATACCATCTGATTTAAGAATGCGCAATAACACATCAACTTTTTGTAATTATTTGATATAAGAGTCCATTAGTTTCTATTTGGATACAAATGTATCTATTATTTAAGATAAATATTTATTCGAATAATGCCCAACCCCAATGGGATTCCCTAGTCCTGCCAGTAAGTTGGTCTACGCTGTTTACATATAATTTATTTTTCATTTTAAACACTATTATTATTATTTTTGGATGAATTATCTGCATATTTAAATTTATTGATTCATTGATGTTATTCTATCATAGGTCTGTTATTTATTAATTAAATATTAATGTGAATCCGTGAATTAAATGAATCCGCTGCATAATTATTGTTATTCATAGTAGCTTAGTAATCCTAAAATGGGGATCGATTTTAGTCAGTCATATAAAAAAAAATTGTTTTTATTCGGATTAGAAAAATATATATGTCGTGAAATAACATTCAGTCATACATATATCACAGTTCCATTATATATATATATATATATATATGACCAGAACATTAAGGAGTATATATATAACACGTAACAAATATATATAAATGTATAGTTAGATTATGGTTACGTGAACTAACCTAAATGTCGAATGTAAGTCACTTCAGCATTGTATAACTGTACATGATTAAGAGTATACAAATACTTAAATGGCAGGAAAATTATTAGTAACTAACTCAAGAGATTGGTCGCCTTCATATTCTTTCAGATAAACTCGGATGCATTCGGCACTACATAAACAAGTGTGATCGAAGTGATTGTGAATCACTCATAATCCGTGCAGAACTCGTGTAAACTATTATTCATAACATTAGTAAATTACCTTGTGGAAGAAGATCTTTGATTTTGTGGTCTGTTTTCTCTTCTGCCCAATTATTGATATTGATTCTAGACGCATCAGGATTTCTTTCAAAGTCTTCTCCCTTAGTGTCTGATAAGAAATATTTACTTGATACTGATAAAAAGTTTGGATTTAGTTTGAAATGTTTTTCAACAAATAATCTAGTGGCAATTTTCAACACAGGGTTCTAAAATATTAATATAATATAAAAATAAAGAAAATTAGATATGTAATCAGTCTTTGACCTTTTCTAAAAAATTCAAGTATTTAAACTTTCATGTAAAGTTTGGAAATGTATAATTTTCACAACTCACAAAAAGCCTCTCAATAAAATATATACTCACCTCTAAACTCTTTATAAGAAAACTATAGCTTTTTAGTACTTTATCATCATTTTTAGCATGATGTAATACAGCTGCAATTTCAGTTTCAGTTTTTCCATTAGCACCTTCTAGTGCCATACCTAATAACACCTGAAGACCAAAAGGTGAACATATCATATTATCACCATCCTGGCGTAAATCCTTTATATAAAACAAAAAAGATTATTTCAATATATATATAATTTAATAAGTAATTAATCTTGCTTCCATTAAATGTAATATCAAAAATTTACCTGGTATAATTTTAAAGCAAACATATTAGATGTTGCTGTCAATTGCTGAACTTCGCTTGAAGCCATTATGTTGAATGGTACAATAGAAACCACCAGTAAAACTAAAACCAGTAAAACAACAGAACTAGTCAGTTTTTTAGGGTAACTATGAGCTTTGAATGTTGATAAATATTAAAAATAAAACAGCGTTCATTACAAATTGATGTTAACCAAGCTTTCATAAGCAAACAGCAAGTCAAATAATAGTTCTTATATTTTATTAAATCTTATAGATTTACTAAATGAAATCATTGGAATATAACAAGTGTTCTTGTATGCCAGGTAGTTTATAATCAACAGAACAGCTGTCAACAGAACTTGTTTGAATTGATAATGACATGCCAAGAGGTAGGGATGGGCGAAAGTCGATACTTATTTCACAATTGATATATCGATACAGGCAGCTATTGATAGTGCTATCGATATTCCCAGTAACTGTTCTCAACTTAGCATATTAAAAAATAAGCAAATTAACCTTACTCATTTTATTTTTTTACTTTCACTTACCTATATATGAAATATATGTTAAGGGACAGTATTGCGATCGTGAAAATTTCGACTCTGAGTATTCAACGGAAATACACGTTTTGAGGTCAAAGGGACTTGGTTAATTAGACTATTGGTTACATAACCTTAAATATATTTACTGTAGTTTAATAACTATATATCTGATATCATATTTAAATAATTAGGTATCTATCGTCCGTTCATGGGCGGATTTACGGGAGGGGGGGGAGGGCTCTCGGGCTGAAGCCTCCCCCCCCCCAAAATGGTAAAAGACAACTATGTTTTATGGAGAAAAAAAATTAAAAATACCTCTTAAACTATTATTGTTCGTGTAATTACATTTAAAAGGACTTAAGGAATCACTTAAATACCATTTCATATAGGTAGTTAGTTTCTTTCTATTTTTTTCAAAGTAATTATCGTTATTTTTATGAAAAAAAAGGTTTCGGGCTGAAGCCCATCCCCCCAAAATTAAATCCTGGATCCGCTAGTGCGTCCGTTTATTCCGAAAAATCATCATGTAACCTATTAGAAAATTTAATTAGTAAATAATTTCATGAATTTTCCCTTTGTGATATTCCAACAGTATCGTCTTACAATTAGTGTGACAATTTTTGATGTGCCTCTGACGGACAATGCAAATATCTTAGTTCCATTTTAGTAAACTTTGCAATAGAAAATAACAGTTTAATATGTAATAGTCGTACAATACATAATCAACCTATGGTATAATAAACAGGTTGGCTGGTTGTTACATCGTAAAGGCGTAAAACCTGTTGGTCATCAACGCCGTTAATTAAAATTATATATAATTGTATCTTTTGGTTATGAATATTAAGAATTGGATAAAATTAAAAAGTTGTAAAATGCACATTAAGGTTAAAGTTGTTTACAGTTAATAAAGATTAGTTATTTAAAGTTAGTATGTTAGGTAAAAGAAAAAAAAAGAGGTGGGGAGTGCTGTGAGAGAGGTGCAGAGATTTTTTAAGATTTCTTCTTCAGAGAAAAAACACATGATTTTGCCAAAGAATTTTCATCATTTCCCAAAGCAGCCGGTGTATTAGCTGGTATTCCCCTTATGTTTAATTCTCTAATGTAAAAGGCACAACTCTTCGAAGATTTGGACCACTGTCATCATCTCTCCACACTTCAGATAAATATGCGGGTTTGCTTTCATAATTAATCGAAGGTGCGTAAGCCTGGTATGACCTATTCTTAGTCGTGAAATACAACTTCCTTTTTGTGTTTGCTGCGACTGTAACTGTTCCATGGCTTCACTTCCTTTTATGGCTTATCACCTTTAATTTATTTGGAAGGCTATTTTCTCATAGTGTCTGCCAATCCTCGTGTATGGCCTCTTTCAGGGGTCGTGCCAGTTCGGACACAGTCAAGAAGGCTTTACCACGTCCTGGAAGGGTAAGAGCTTCTTTTGCTGCTCTGTCAGCCATTTCATTCCGACCAATGCCTACATGAACAGGGGGCCATAAAATATGTACTAATGTTCCAATGTTACTTAGCTGTTTTATGAGCTCCAAAATAGTATATATTCCTATGTGGTTTGGAATAGTCCTAAAAGCTCCAGTGGCGAGGCTTATTCCTGTGAGGAGTACTGAGTCAAGCTTGGTAAGACTACTTTTACGAAGGGAACCGTAACCAAAACTGCCATAATCTACCTTGAAACCTCTTAATACTTGATACACCGCTTTTAGCATTGTGTCCCTGTCCGCTCCCCACTTTGTTCCAATTAGTACCGTTAATATCTTAAGCTCTCTTGCGCAATTTTCTTTCAATGACTTAATATGACGTTCCCAAGACAGACGCCTATCAAACAACAAACAGTTCCAATAATCTACAGTTATCAGTCTATGGTAGTTTAAAATCTCCTAGATAAAGATCTGGCGATTGTAGTGTTTTTCGTTTTTTGCTGAAATGTACACATTTTGTTTTGTTGGTGGAAAATCACAATCCTGATAATTTAGACTGTCAATTCGACATAGTGTATCTTGGAGTTTCTTTTTAATAGATGGGATATCGTTTCCTCTGTACAGTAATGCAAAATCGTCGACACATAGCATAAATTTAATAAATAGGACTTTTGTTATTTTAATGGCATTTATGATTTGTTAGCGGTAAGCTTTTAGCTTAAGCTCGGTTAAAAATGCAATTCAAAAATATTATGATAACCCAACATGGCCAGAAAATAATTTATATTCAAAGTTGAACGAAAAGTGAAAGTTGTGTGTTGTGCGCACCAGATTTTTATATTTAGTATTAAGTTGGCCTTGAAACAGTACTTCCCAACAAACTACTGAACTCTAAACCCATCATGAGTAGTAATTAGTGTTGCCCAAAATCAGTCTTGGTCTTGCAAGACCAAAACCTGTTGCAAGACCAAGACCAGAACTGGTAAAAAAAATCGATTTTTTAAAATAAAAATTAAGGCAAAATAGTCACTAATACTTGGCATTACTATATGTTAATAATTGGTATTACCAATATACTTTTGCATTTAACTCCTCTAATTTTTCATTCGAGCTTAGTTAGGTTTCTCCTATCTAAAAAATGAGAGTAATATCTCTATAGTAATAAGCTAATAAGTAAATGCAAGACTCTTGCGTTAAACCAAGACCATGACCAAGACCGAGTTTGCAAGACCTAGATTCGTCTCGGTCTCGCATTTGGGCAACACTAGTTGTAATGGTAATTTTAATTATGTAATTTTTTTTATTGACTCAGTTTTGATATACAAATATGTTTTTGTGAATTTCGACTTTAGTGATTGATACTAACCACTTTAGGGACCTTAAAATGATGAAAATCATTTTATAAATTAAATATAGTTACAGCTAGCACACAATTTTGTTATTTCATAATTCTTCAATTTTCATAATTATTTAGGGGTATGAAATGCCACATAATGACTTTTTCAATAAATCCACTACATATATTGTATATTATATAAAGATCGGATGCAATAATGCTAATTTATGAACAGTTAATTAACATGGTTTTGGGCCCATTTTTTATTCCAAAATACCTAAACTAAGTACAAAAAATTTGCACGATTGCATTACTTTCCCGAAATAACAATATCCTAAACAATCAGGTAGACATATTAAGTAAGTTTAAGAAATAATTTGACAATATTTTAAATATGGGAAATGATTATCTGTTTCTTCCTTAGGTATATTAGATTATTGATTGTTTCCGTTGTTTGGAAGAGCCGAGTGAAGAGGAAGTTGAAGTAGCCATAGGAAAATTAAAATCTTATAAAACTGTGGGGAAGGATAATATTTCTAGTAAACTAATTAAAACAAGCAGATAAGCTGGCGTTACAAAAAATACATCTGTTGGTTAAAAAGATCTGGGAGAATGAGAAATTCTCTGAAGAATAAAAACTATCTATTATTATTCCGATTTACGAAAATAGCTCGAGGACAGAAAGTAATAACTATCGAGGAACATCATTCCTTTCAGTATCTTATAAAATATTCACATTAATCCTTACTAACCGAATCAATGGCCAGGAAATTACCGGAGACTACCAATGCGGATTTAGACATAACCATTCAGCTATCAAATATGATAGTTTATATATCACAATGAACAATAATCAAATATTTTCTTTACGACAAATATTAGTGAAAACTTTAGAGAACAGCATTGTTCAACTGTTTATCGATTTTAAATTGACTTATAATTATATTCTCAGCCAGAAGCAGTATAATATTTTAATCGAGCAGAGGATTCCAAAAAAAAAAAAAAAAAAAAAATTAGTAAATCTAGTTGACGTAAACATTCAATAAAGTTGGAATCGGTAGTTATCTATCCGAAAAGTATGAGGTTCCTTCCGGTTTAAAACAAGGTGATTCCCTTTCATCTGTCCAGTTTAATTTAGCTATAGAACCATTAGGGAGGTTATATGTAACGAAAAAGTTTTGAATCTCTTTGGAGTAATATCCGTGCTTGGTTAAACTGATGATTTGGTCGCGTTAAGCGAAGTCATGAAAACTATAAAACTAAATACGACGCTAATAAAAACTGGCAAAGAACTGAGGTTCGAGATAAATACGAATAAGATAAAAAAAAAACAAACAGTAATCCACAAAAATGATAATTTAGATATCGATTTAGAATGGAATATGTTTGAACACGTAACGAAGTTAAGTTATTTAGGATATATGATAACTAGAAAGAACGAAATTGAAGAGGAGATTAAGTTTAGGTTGAAGACGGGAAATGCTTGTTTTTTTTTTTTTTTTTGTGATAAGAATAGTTAGCTCAAGTTTCCTGTTCCGAAATTTAAAAATTAAAATTTTCAAACCATTATCCTACATACGGTTCTTTATAGATGCAAAACGTGGCCGCTTCCATACACTAGCGGATCCAGGATCTAATTTTATGGGGGGGGGCTTCAGCCCGAAAGCTTTTTTTTTTCATAAAAATCACGATAATTTCTTTGCAAAAAAAGAAAGAAACTAACTATCTATTTGAACTGGTGTTTAAGTGATTCCTTAAGTCCTTTTAAATGTAATTACACGAAGAATAATACTTT